TTATTAATTAAACAATTACATTGAAATGAATTAACAACATCACTAAGACATGCGTTCTTGTATGTATGAACTAGGACTCTTCATAGGAGTTTTATTTATCATTTTCATTACTTACATTACTAAGATTTGCTTTATGTTAAAAATGTCTGAATTTCAGTGAAAAAATATTGTATGCATCTAGGAGTTATATTGATAAGTATCTTAAAGTTTTTATGCCCACGGGCATATAGTAATTGAATCGTCCGTTCATCCGTTTGTCCGTCCGTAAGTTGTTTACCTTAACTTACATAAGTATATTTACAAGTAGATAATATATGCACAAGGCTTATTCAATGAAAATATCATTAATTAGAAATATTTTGTTTTGCACATGATGTAACTAACAGCTTTAGATTATAAGTAAATGTCTAAGGGTAAAATTTTAGCCGTCCATGCGTAACCATGGCAATGGAATACGTAAATCATGAGTGACTCGTGTGATTCACCCTTGTTTATAGAAGTGTCTTAGCATAGCATGGCCTTGATGTCATTGTTGCATGTTTGTTACTATTTAGTTAAGTTCGCCTTGTATGTTACATTTATTATATCTTTGAATCCTTTAATTGGATTATTTGCAGCAAAATCTAATGGGAACATTTTTGATCTGTCGACATGTACTTTAACCAAAACCTCTATTGAGTATGCTAAACTGGGTTGAATCGTGCTTCTAGAGTTTTCATTCATTTATTTCTGTGTCATGTTACTATTTTTGCAGCAGATATATAGGCTTATACATTTTAATTTACCTAAAAGTAAAGTATTTACTCTTATTATCAAATATTAGATATTAAACTATGTTCAACATTATCGCAAAAAAAATGGTTTGTTCGTAACAGTATAATATCATCCTAACGAAATTCCTGTAATGTTACGTATTTTGTTGTAAGTATATAATTTTATCTACATGCAAGTTCATACAGTTTACTATTCATACAGTATAGTTTGCTATACATATATTATTATTATAGCTTGAAATCATACACTATTATCGTGAATATTTATCGTAGTAATTATCCTAGCTAACTATGAAATTAACGACAGACGTAATCACATTACAGTATGTAACTGATTATCTAATTACTGTAAACCAGTTTTGTTTTGTCGAGAGTGTTGATGAAAAACCTAAACAACCTATCTGAAGTTAATTTAATTGTTCAAAGATTGTCGCCTTAACTAAATATAAATTCTAATAGAATTTAGTCTCTTTGATAAACAAGCATTCATCGAAATAAGGCTTTATATCATCAGATTTCATACGTGCTTCACTTTAAATCTTATGTCCCTCAACGCAAAAATAGAAGGAACAGGTATGATAACCATAGTGATGTTATATAATACATTTATACACATTTATTTTGGTACCAAGTTATATCGCTTCGTGCAAATTACTATCGCTGAATGTGCAATTTTCACACAATTCAAACAATGTTCTCAAAAACCACAAAACGTAGGATAATGCACTTTGTATTGTCATTTGAAGAAAATTAACGCGCATATGATACGCTAGGTTTTGTTTTGATTTAAGAAACGTTTGTCACCATAATTTAACATAATAAGGTACTTACCGGGGCTCAGCAGTCGCCATTTTCTCGTGGGTATTACTATACAAAGTCACGTGATTTCCCCCCGTGATTCCAAGTACTTTCCTAACGTACAAGTGTTGTATTTTAGTGTCATTATTTATATTCAGTTATTTCGAGATATTCGGTTTGTCTAGGAAAACATATATATTTCTGTAATTTCTCTGTAATCTGTTCATTAATATCTCATTTAACAAAATTTAATTAGCCAAAATTGGCCTGAGTGTAAAAGTACACATATGGATAAGATTTATTTTCAAATTTAGATTATTTCGATTTTCCTTTGTTAAGGTATTATATCAATAACCTATCCTGCTCAACCATATTTCGTCTCTGCGTCCATGTCCAACATTTTTTTTTCACAAACCACTTGACTGTATATCTTAATAATTATTAATTATTGTAAAGCCCTGAATGTGAAATGATAATATCAATTATATTGATGTGTTATATTTTAAGCAAATTATAAAGGTTTTCACAAGAATAAGTAATTCGTAAACTTTTGATTTGATTTAGATTTCAGATATAGAAAAAGTATCACAATGTGGAGCTCTTCATATTGGTATCATTCACTATATTGTACAAGAAAAGTTAAAAAATTGATATAAATAAACACAATACTGCATCTCTAAGATCTCTTAAAGCAGCAGGCCTCCAGACGTTAAAAGAAAAACTGCCGTATTACTAATTTTTCAAAATCCCTCTTCAACAACATTATATAATTGAAAGAAATCAAAATGACACTCCAAAACGTTCTTATTTTAACATTATTGCTCTGAAAACAAACAGTTCACTTTTTCGCCAACTTTATTACACTACGGAATTCTTTCATCCGTGTTTTTTTTTTCAGTTACACAAAAAAGTTGCTCTTTTTCTATTATTTAAGAAAACAAGGTATTAAAATATTTGAACAAAGGCTGCAGTTCTGGATGGTTTTTCATCACGTTTGAAAAACATTGAGCATATGTTTTAACTTGTCAACTTTCTCATATTATTAAAATGTATTTAATAGTGTTAAGCCAGATGACATAAAAGCTGCACGTCTTGTTCCTTTGTCAAAGAAAAATGATAAAAGAGAAAAAAGGAAATTATAGACTTGTTTCAATCATCTGTATTATTTCGAAAATATTTGAAAGACTTGTATATGATCAAAATTTACTATTTGAGTTTCAATCGTGTTTCAGAAGTTCTTTTCTCTACGGATACATGTTAAATCCAACTATATGATTATATAAGCTAAGTCTAAGTAGATACAGGTTATTATGTTGGCATCGTTCTATTAGATTAGCAAATAGCTTTTGATACTGTTGACCGCACCATACTTTTAGACAAATACAAAATTTTGGTTTCGAGTCAAGATGTTGTCAGATGGCTCCATTCATAATTTATCAAGTAGACAACACTGTATTGATATATCTGGCAATCCTTTCATTTAATTGTATGCTTTTATGTTTCTGCTATTTTAGTTTCTAGTTAATGCAAATTCGACATTGAATAATTGCTTACCAAAGACCGTGAACAAGTGAGTAAGCTGTTAATTGATGACAAATTATCATTACACATAGTCAAAACAGAATCAATTCTATTTAGGTAAAAAAAGTGGTTAAAAGGGAATCAAACCTCAATATTATATGTAATAATTGTTCTACTAAGCGGTGATGAAACGGTCAAATATTTAGGAGCCACCGTAGACCAAAGTTTGAGTTTTAAGACATCCGTCATTAAGAAAACAAATGCAAGTCTTAATATATGTTTTATAATAAGTAAATGTAAGTAATGTCTTCAATCCAATGTCATTTTGGCTATACCTGCTCTGTTTGGTATTCTTGCATTTCTCAGAATCTGAAAAACAGACTCCAAGTTACACAGAATAAGATTATTAAATTTGTACTTCACCAAAGAAGTTATATTAATGACGGGCACTTTCAGCAGTAAGGCTGGTTACTTGTTTCAGACAAAGTCGAGCATATCACTCTTAATCATATTTTTAAAATACAAACAAATTCTGTCAATTTTTACATGAATGCATATTTCACACAAGCAAGTTTTGAACATAATCTTAATACCATATTAAGTAATGGGTATTGGTTTAAAAGTCCTAACGTTAAATAAAGTGTATGTTTAAAAGTATATTTCCTACAATGGTTGCTCCTTGTGGAATAAACTACCACAATATATAAAAAGTTCTTTGAACTATGGTCCAGATAGATTTTTCAATACTGTGACATCTTGTTTATGTTTTACATTACATATACATGTATAAGTTTTATTCTTGTATTTTTGATTAATATTCAAATTCAATAACAAAGTTATTGTGCCTTGCTAGAACATGTTATTTTCCATCCTGGACCACAATGGAAACAAGTGCATTCATACTCATATTTTGTGTCATCCTCAATACATGTTCTTGTACATCTTTTCATTAGTTCCTCAGAATGATAATTATTTTGCTGTGATTTGTTTTTTTTGTTCTTATGACTAGTCTTTAGGTTTTAGTTCAAAGTCGTAATCATTATTTATTATGTTTTTTTATTTGTTGTTATTTCACTCATGACTATACTTATTTGAAGTAATGCAATGTATTTATATACTGAAATAAATCATTATTATTATTATTATTATTATTACTATTATTATTATTATAACAATCGTATTCACTTCCAATCAAAAGAACAGGCCTTTTCTATTCTATCATAAAATACAGAGAAAATAAGCAACCGGGTGTTACCTAATGGACAGCTCCTGTTTACTGAACAGTAATTTAAGGAATATTTGTCTTAAAGCAGCACGCCTCCAGATTCATGTATTTGAATGTGTAACATTGTAAAGTAATCAAAAGGAAGCAGTTTACACAATATCAATGGCACTTACAAACCACGTAAAGTGGTCAAAATATGCACAAATAGCCTTTACTGCATTAGTAACGCAGTAGAGATAAAGTTGTGATACACAAAAATCAGTCATTAATCGCACATTATATGTAAAATATTACTTGAATCTTGAAACATTTTACTTTTCCTTACATCTAAGTACATTTTTCTTAAGTTTGATTTAATTGAAATATTTTGACTCATCTGGAGGCATATAGCTTTAATGTAATGGTGGCCTTTGTTTAAATTGTCTGCAATCCAGCCAACTATAGAAACTAGCTAATTGGAGACATTAACTCTGTGTAACTTATTAGTTTAAGGACCACGCAGATTCATAACAGGTTCAAATAAATGGCCTTAATTCGTCTTTGTTGTTTTTGCATTAATTTCAAACAAGGTAACATCGCAAGGTGCACACAAGGTTGTGAAGTTCAAATCTTATCTCTTACATAGGAAGAAGAAATTAAAACTAAATTCTGACCATTGGTATACTGCTCTTTTTTTCTTTATAATAAAAAAAAACAAAGCATAATACGAACATATACTGCAATCTATTCAAATAATTTGACTAAATACAACTTAATTAAGATTAATACATAATTATTAATGTATCTTGAAAACAAATAAAGATGATAATCAATAAATCTTGATAGGGAGAAATACTTGTATTTTTATCTGCATTAAAAATAGCATGCTTACATAATTCGAGGCTGTTTACTAATATAAAAGATTTATGTTCATCGTCACTCACTCACTCACTCACTCACTCACTCACTCACTCACTCACTCACTCACTCACTCACTCACTCACTCACTCACTCACTCACTCACTCTTCAACTCACTCACTCACTCTACAACTCACTCACTCACCATCTCACGCACTCACTCACTGACTCACTCACGCACTCGTTTTTTTTCTTATTGATGTTGAATGTTCCATGATAACCGCCGTTTGAACAAAAATATTCAGAATGTCACTATTTTCGTGTTTAAATGTTCAAGTCTGCTTAAACCGGTGCTAGGGGGGGGGGGGCTTGGACGGTAATTTGCACTTTTAAGTACCGTCCATGAACAGGTTCAATCAAACCAACCTGCAACATTATTAATTTTGCCGTGTTGGGCTTTCTTTTAGGGATTCTTTTTTTTTCTCTATTTCATTATATAATTATTTTTAATGGTTTTATTATCATATTGATGGCTGTTTTTCAAACACGTATGCATCATTTTGTTGGGTTGCATTGTTGCAGACTTATCCGAACAATCGTTTGCATCTAATTCATTTCAACAGCTCCTTTGGAGGATCCGGTTTGTCTTTCTTGTTGCCTTGTAGATATTGGTGACGTTTCAGAAAACCCCTCCTGGTCTCCGACCAATCCCCGAAACGGGTATAAGAACGTTCGTTTCAAACATTTACGGAACTTCTTGTTCAAAAATGTGTAAATGTAAAAGTTTGCGTTGAAAGATAGGACAAGCAGCAGTTCATAGCCCATATGGATGCCTCTGTTGACATCCAGATTGGAATTTTCCCCATTCGTTGTTGCTTTGTCGATAGCATGATAGAAGAGGAAAACTCCGTATGGTATCTCGGGAATAAGAAACACCACTACGATAACAATGACAATGGTCGAAATACTTCGGTTTTCTTCAATCCAATTCAAATTTTGCGAAGAGTTCCCATCCATGTTTCCAAAGTTTCGTGCACCACCTCGTAAATGTTTGATGAAAATAACAGTGGATATTGTTAGGCTGACACAAGGTATGAAATGACGAACTATAAACAATAACCAAAGATAGATACAGTCTCCTCCGCAATCATCCTCGCCAAGCTCCCATTGACAAATACCATCAACCGCTTTATCTGTTGTCACGTGGTACACATGAAGGAGTGGTGAGGCAAAGAAGATAATCAAACAGAATATAACGGTATTTCTGACGGAAAAAATACGTTGAGATTTGAATGGGAAGGCAACCGAAGTGTATCTCTGAACAGCAAGAAACAGTGTCAAGAAAATTGACACTGTGTGAAACATTTTAGATAAGAAATATTTTGATAGCATAAATCCACGACACAAGTCCTTTGATAAAACATATCCATCCACAGAGGACTGAGTGACCGGATTGTCATAATATTGTGTAATATTTGTGCTATTAATGTGAAAATAATCTTCATATTGCAGTGGATCGTGTGTATTATAATACACCATGATGTAAGTTGGCAAGGTAACAAGTCCAGTCAATGTATCAGATATTGCAATGGCGGAGAGTATCATGTTTGTTGCAGTGCGCATCTTTCTGCGCATCAAAACTGAAATTACAACGACGTTCACCAAAAATAGTAAAATAACGAGTATATTCCAAATATACAAGTAAACAGGTCTTTCAAAAGGGTAGCCAGGATATAGATATTCGTCGTATTCATAAGATCCGTATTCGTAATGATCGGAATTATTGTAGTCATCCGAATAAATGCTACTGTTGTAAGGATCACTGTCGTTGTTCAAAGAACTTGTTGTAGATAAATTGTTGTCGTCGCTCATTCTGGTAGTTGAAAGAATAATGAAGTAGAAATCTGATACTGTTTACGTTTCCAGTGAAATAAAGAGACTTGCGTCCGGTTTCCTAATAAAAAAATAAATACGTACATTGTTAACTAAATATTTTAAGCAATTTGTATTTTTAAAAGCTGTAACTTTCTATTGTTTTACTTATTAAAGGTATAAAAAGTCAAACATACAGATTCTCAAAGTATTTTTACGACAAATTGATCATTAACCTAAATTTCAAACTTACAAAAAAAAGAAAAACTTACATCAATGTCCTTAATTTACCAATCACCAAATGATAATATCGTCTCTATTTTTTCATTCTAAAAGTCTGAAAAATGCACTTTTCTTCACATATATAATTGCTCTTGACATTTGGGCATATTTAAGTATCCTATGAGCAATAACTGTAATGCAATGTTAAAAAGCAATGACGGCCGCTAACAACCTTTCAAAATAGACATGATTTCCAAATGCGAATGTCTTTACATCTGTCAACAATTATTGATTGTCTCTTATAATCCAGAAATAATTTTCCTTCTTATGAAAAAAATGTATTATTAATAAATCCGAATGAGATCCCTCTAAATCAAACACATTTTTTCCATAAATACACAGCTTTTAAATAGGATGGTCGCTTACATTTCCAGAGTGAGACTTATATAAACTTCCGCAGAAAATAACAGAAATCAGCTGGGCATGGTGTATATTTTTTCTTCTGCTAGAACTGTTTGCCGTACAAATTTTATTTATTTATTTATTTTTTGATTTGCCACTAATGGCAATGTCAGTCACTTATTTAAATACCTAAAGTAAAATTATAATTTATTGCTTAAAAGTTTACTTTAATTATATTATCCTTTGCAAAAATTAAAAACTCGCGGAAATTGTAATTCATCGGTAACGTACACTTGCAAAAAAAGACGAAACGAATCGCGAATTTACCTTATATAAGAATACATGTAGTGCTTATACACCCTATATCGTGTATTTACATCTACAGAAACCCTCGAACTTAAAATAAATCCCAAGCTTTTAATTCCTCCTCGTGCATCTGCAGATGTTAATGTACTCAACAAGATGCATTCACCTCATATTGATCAATCAGCATTATAAGTGCACTGTTTCAATATATAGCTGATAAAGCTCAACATTAAAACGAAAAATGAGCTATCTCGCAAGTATTCATCACTCATAATGATATTGAAAATTTACTTGTGAGCATTGAACGATATTACAATTATTCACGATTCAATCAAGATCAATCATCTATTGTAGAACACCATGATAAGAAGTAGCGGTATTTACTAGTGCTAGTTCAAAGTTTTTAACAGAAAATGACGATGAAATTGAGTAGCTTACCGTAGATTATAGTCAATAATATTCCCAAGAAAAGCCAGTTGGAATATCCTACTGATCAAATTTTTTACACAATAGACCCTTTTCCCAATAAGCCTTATCGGCTTTCAGGTAAAAGTCACGTGGTACCAAAATATCCAAAACGAGGCAGAGCGTGATAGTGTCTCATGCTTATCGGAGAATGCATCTGTTTTACACGTTTAACATTATTTTCAAAATTAGTAATTGTTCTATTTCATACAAAGAAGTCATTTATGAAAAAATGTTGATTTAACCTTTCTTTTGCATTCTTTTGCTTCATTTGAGTTCATAGCATTTACTTCGCTCAAAATAACGTATCGATCGCCGCAAACCCGGAAACGAAAGTAAACAGGTATGAAACTTTCACTTCGTTCAAAGTTAACAGTTTAGAAACACGATGCTGACCATAATTAATTATTGTAACTTTTAAATTGAAGAGGTATTGAATGATTTATATGATATGAAGATTATTAATTACTGATTTAATATTTTGACGAAGAACAATTTACCCCACCCACTTATGAAATATGTCTAGGCTAGCGCTTTCCATGGGTGCATAAACTTAGTACAAGCTTAATTACAGTATTGAAATAAAAAATAATTATCATCTTGTATCTCTATCAAAACATGCGTGACATTTTTAATTTTTACGATTAAAAGCAGATATTTGAAGATTTCAAATGTAATTTTCATCCTGTGTATACACATGAATATATTTAATAAGTTATATACATGTACCTTATTAAATATATTTATGTTTACACATGGCATGAAGACCCTACTATAATTTTCTTTTTTATGAAAAGCAATATATTTGAAATTCTTTTGTTTCAGAAATGACTTCTAAGAGTCGTGGCCAGATGTGCTGTGTATATGCATGTAGCAACTGTAGATATGACAAAGAAAACAATCTAACAGGTGTTCACTTTTTCAACATACCAAAGCGTGTGATTGAAGAAAAAAAGTATCGAGACAGATGGTGCAATTTGATTAAAAGGCAAGATGGTAGGGATGGCTTCAAGTTGACTCCAAGGACAGTTATATGTCATGAACATTTTAAAGAGAATGATATAAAAATTGCTCTGAACAGTAAGCGATGGTGTTTGAAGCCCGATGTCGAGCAATCAGTGTTTGACTGGTCAAAGATTTGTACCCGCAAACCTCCTAAAGAGCGGTTTCCACTTTCACCACTTAAATCCTTGGAGGAAGAAGAGACTTACATTGCCACACCTTTACCAAACTATGTAAGTACCAAATCAATAAAAAAAATATGCTTTTTGTATTCCGTGAAAGTATTCGTAATTGATATATGCAGAATTTTAATTATTTTATATTATTTTAGTTGAAGTTAGGGAGGATTATTAATTATTTCAATAGTGTTTGATTCTCGGTGAGCATCAGTGATTCTATTTAAGTGCTGAAATAATGCACAGCCTGAAAACAATGAAGCTAACCTGGCCTGCCTTTGTCAGTAAAGCAGGAAAATGTGTTTATTACCTTTGTGTGCCATTAAAGCCAACAAAACAAGTATTTCTTAACTCTTTCATGTTAAACCAAAATAAAAATTTGAATTGTTCTAAAAACTTTTTATTTTCAGAATATGTTCAAGTCTGATGCTGAAGAGGAATCAGAATTTTATATCGGTACAGCAGACAAGGCTTGCCAAACTGATCCTTTTGAAATCATACCTCATGAAACCAGTTGTATAGGGACTTCAGTTGATGAATTAGACCATAGTTACTCAACACCTATCAAAGGAGTTTCAGAATTAGAAATGTTACAGAAACAGATCAATAACTTAATTAAAAAGTGTGACCAGCTTCAATGTGTCATAAGTGATCTGAATAATGTTATCACTGATTTTGAAGCAAATAGATTTTCCCTAGACAAAATTTGTGATGACAAACATGCTGTTATGTTCTATACAGGTTTTCCTAATATTGAAACATTTAATGCATTTTATGAATATATTAAGACTAAAAGTGAGCGTTTGAATTACTGGCGGTGACGTTGCGAGGTTGGTGAGGAGGTACCAAAATATCAGACGGCCAATAACAGTAGGCCAGGGAAAAAAAGAACTTTTTCAACAAAAGAGGAACTTTTTATGGTGTTAGTGAGACTCAAAGTTGGATTATTTGTAAAGGACATTTCTGAACGGTTTGGAATTTCACAAGGATATTTTTCAAAGATATTTACAACATGGATCAATTTTCTCCATCATGAACTCCCATTGTTATTTCCCTTTCCATCACAGAAGTTAATACGCCAAAATATCCCCTTAGAATTTGCCCAATACCCAACCACAAGAATTATTCTTGACTGCACAGAAATTTTTATAGAAGTTTCAAGTGTAATGGAAACACAGTCCCAAACATGGTCATCTTATAAGCATAATAATACTCTGAAAGTTTTGGTGGGTATAAGCCCTAATGGTACACTTACATTTATATCTGGTTTGTGGGGAGGTAAAACATCTGACAAAGAGATCACTGAGAAAAGTGGGGTCTTAGACCTGTTGGAGCCAGGAGACAACATAATGGCTGATAGGGGATTTGATATCAAAAATATTCTTCCTAAAGGTGTAGAACTCAACATTCCTCCATTCTTGAATGGAAGAAATCAGCTATCGGCAAGTGAAGTTAAAGAGACTATGGATATAGCATCGGTCAGGATTCATGTAGAAAGGGAAATAGGGCGTATAAAGAACTACCATATTCTTGATGGTGTTATGCCGTTAAGTCTTTCACATATTGCCGGACAAATTGTGTCAGTGGTGGCGTATTTAACTAACTTTTTACCACCATTGTTGCCACCAGCACATAAAGTAAACAAGACTTGAAAAGTCTGTGTGCAAAATTAGAGATAAACAGTCCATTTGATAAGAAATTTACCAAAAAATAAACAGATTTTATTTCATAATTTTATTGTCCATCACAATAGTGAAAAAATCTGCTTAACAAAAAGTGATGTATAACAATATAATATATACAGTAATATTGTGTTAAAGCATGTGACATATAACTGTTACACAATTTATGAGGGACATTGCTTATGTTTATTAGAGTCAAATATTCATTTAGCATCAATAAAAGATTTATGTACTGTTACCAAAATTTTGTTATTGTTTTTAAACACTACAATCAGAAGGCAAAAATCAACACCCTAGCTCCACAAGTAGCCAACAACTTCTTAACAAACATTACTTCAGTTCTTAATGATTAATATCCCTGAATGTGTATATACATCAAAACATGTTACAGTAAACTTTTACACACTAAAACTATCTACAAAACTTAAGCATTTCAACCAAAGTATGTCCATCAGACCATGTACCGTACTTAATCTATAATTCAACTGCCTGTTCATATACTCTAAAACATCTGTCATGTCAAAACATCTTTAATTTATTTATATGTAAGAAATTACAAAAAGGTGAAAAAAACTTGAAGCTCCACAAGTAACAAACAACTTCTTAACATTATTTTACTTAATTGAAAGTATGCACAGGATATTTATATTTTTTTTATCCCTTTACATGTTTGTAATCAAGAAATGTTTTTACACTTTTGTGCACTGAGTTCAATTTGTAATTTGGCAATAACTATCAAAAAACTTAAGCACTTAACCAAAATATGTCCATGTACTTTAACCAACTGCCTACTTATTCACTCCTATCTTTCGTTGTGCTTTAAGCTTTTATTTTATCTTTCTAATAATTGTTTTTGTACTCTCCTTGACAACATTTCTGGAATAAACTGTTGCCTGTAAAAGTTAGTTAATTTAGGAAGTGAAATTTTATTCCACATTGTCTCATCAAATAAAATTCTTTCGACATAAACATTTTTGTCATTGAGCCAAACAACAAAGTCTGCCCACTTTAGCCCTGTCACAAACATTTGACCTTGAACCTGGTAAAAGTAATCATGAGATCTGTTCAATTTAATTTCACCTTTATCATTTTTCTTCAAGCAAAATGGCTGTTTATGTACAGCTTCTTCAAGAGTAAGTCCAGCTCTAGATATAGGGCATTTCACTTCTAGACATCCATAGCTATCTGTAGATATGTCAAACACTTTGCCATCAACACTGGCACCTAATCCAGGAAACTTGTCACAAATTTGTAAACCTATTTTCTCAACTTTGACAGCATTTCCAGACATTTCCATATGTTTCTCATAAGCAAGAATTGCATTTTCTTCGTTTTCAGACCCGTAAGTGGTAGCTTTCGATGAGAAGCTGGAATATAGCAACTGCTTAATAAGTCCATCTGGGTTTATTTTACGTTTTATTATTTTGCCAAAGTTTGAAGCAGTAAGGATGAATTTCCTTAGATTCTGCCACAACACACTTTGTGATTGCTTTTTGGTTCTCATTTCAACTGCTTCAATTATCATTTCATCAATTTTAAGTTTGCTTAGATAATCATCAACAGCACATTCAATATCCTTGCTACTGGCCATATCTGGCAGACTTATACCTTTGACAGAATAAATGTCCAACAATTTCTGGTCGGAAAATATATCCATTCCACTGTCCTTCTCGCAATAGTGTGTGGATACCACTTCCACATTATCACAAACAGGCAAGTTTTCACCTAGTGTCACCTGCTCGTTGTCGATGTCTGTCAGTTCCTCATGAAAAAGAAAAAAACCAGATGCCGGCATACAATTTTCTAAATTCTCATACAATGTACGCAATGCCGGGATATCGAGATATCTGTCAACCGGAGCCCGAGGGTCGTATAAAGTCACAGACTCTGACTGTATATTTTCCTGCTGTTTTCCAATATGTACCTTTTTTATCTTCATATTTGGAAGTGGGGCTGAATGTACTTTTAGGTCTCTGGGAACATTCCAACTACTTAGTTTTCCCGTACAGGTTACTGCTTCAGGGGCTTTCTGAAGGTTTTTCCGACTGAAGTCTTCAACACAGAAAAGTAGACCGCCAGTGTGGTTACATTTTCCTTCACCATTTGGTCCCAGTCTAAAAAGAATAAGTGATAATGTACTATTAAGAAGAAACATACATGTGATGTAGTACAGTTTTTCAACAATTATATCATTATATCCAAATCCTCAATAATAAAATACAATAACTTCAATATGACAAGCCACTAGTCTGCATTCCATAATATGGGGCGAGTTGGGAGGAGTGCGAACCATCAAACATAAATATTTGTTAGCCCAACAATGCCCGTCTTTTTTTTCATAAACAATGTGCTGCCTTGACCGACATATATGTATGGGCCGCATTGACTGACATCTATGACATAATGCAATAACAATTAAATCAGTTGGTATTCCCGTCAAAATATTGAGACTACAGTACATAAATTTGTATTACATTATCAACTTATATAAAAATATTAAAAATGTCATTTATTTATAAAAAAAGAAAAGATTTTTGTGACAAAAATTTTCACTGCAACAGGTTTTTAGCTAATTAGCTAATAAGTTACAAATTTATATAAATGTTAAAGATCTAATACTTTAAAGTATATTTTTCTTACCCAGCTGGACATTCACATGCTGCATATAGCACATCTGCTTGTTCATTGAAAACAACAACAACGTTGTATCTTATTTTTTTCATTGATGCTACTACTTTAGCTTTAACCAATGTCATAGTATTGTTTTTCAAAGTTTTCATATCACTTATATGTCCTTCCTTATAAAAGTTATAAGACCTCTCTTTCTTGTACACTGATCCTTTCATAATTTTATCACCAAACTTTTGTGTCTTTACGACCAAGTAATCATACAACTGATGAAAGTTTACTTCTGGTAAGTTTCTCAAATCAGTTGACCATACAGAATCACCTCCTAGCACAATTAAATCATCAAATATACATTCCTTCGGAATATTTACATCGGCAGTATTTACGTGCTTTTTCGACACTTGGTCGACATTTTTGCACTTCACTCGGCAAATGTATGCATATGCACGAGATACTAAAGACGATTTCTTCCCTGTAGTAGATTCGTTACCAGCAAGAAGCAATTCTTTAAGTTTTATCACGGTTAAACGATGTAAATCGTCCACAGTAAAATCTAGATAATTATCAACATTAGACGCCATTGTTTGTTTTCGCTATGATGAGATAATCACGCTCAGCCTCGTTTTGAATTTGGTCAAGTCACGTGATATCTATAAATAGTGCCAAGCTACGTAATGGGAAACAGGTCTATTCTTGATAAAACTTGAATAACATTGACCCAATGTCTTCAACACTCACGATCTGTGCCGTTGCTTGCTAATTTCAATGTAAATATTGGGGAATGCATGCTTCCTTATCAACATTGAAGTGTTTTGGCGTCGAAAGAATACAGGTAAAGATGTTCAGGAGATTGTTACATATTCCAGGTAAATCATTGTGATTTATTGACTCTTTTATACATTTTGTATACCTCATCATATTTAAATACGCAAAAAAATCCACTTAAATCTTATCCACTATGTAGTGAAGCTACATCCCAGCAGGCATCCGACGTTGTTTCAACGTTGAAACAACGTTGAAATATGGTCGTGACGTACGTTGTTCAACCAATATTCAACTATGGACGACCATACGGATATATTACCAATGTATATACAACGTTGATTCAACGTTGTTTATGGTCGAAGTTTTACATTTAGTTTAATCATTATATAAACTTTTATACCACTAATTTTGTGATATTATTCCTTTATTGAATTAGTCTGTAAGTGATTTTTGTCAGGAAAATTTGCGTTACAATCTTTTTCCGTATATTCAAAAAATATTAAACAAATAAAGTTGGAAATAATTTTTCACTTTCTATTAACGCTTTAAATATTAGTTAATATGTTTTGTTGTTTGTTGTTTTATTTTTTAGTTCTTTATGAATAATATTTATTAATAAATTGATATTAGTCAAAGCCCCGTTTATAGACAGACAGACAGACAGACAGACAGATATCTTTATTCACTCAAGCACATTTGTACAATATGAGGATTTTCTAATATAACAAATATAAAATACATTAGTTTTCCAGCAGTAAACATACATAATTTTGCACAATATATTTTTTTCCTTATAATTTAAACAATATGGTGAATTATTACAGTGTGTTTTCTGGGGGGGGGGATTCGGATATTCTTAATTCTAGATAATTAACAGTTCATCTTGATAAGAAAAACAAGAAATAATAATAAAAACAAAAGCAAAAACACACATATATAAAAGAATGTACTAAGAGATTCAATCAAGTTATAAATACACCTTTATGCTAAAACTTTACGTTCAAATATGATTTTGAGATTCTCCCTTGATTAGTTATGTCACGCTTCAATATAGATCTTGACCTTGGTGTATTTATTATTATTGTTATTATTACTATTATTGGAAAATAGTAATAATAATAAACAAAATAAATAAAATAAATATATTTTTGAAAGAGTTTTGAAACGATAAGTTTGTTATTTAATTACGCTGTTTCGGGTAAAATTCACGAACCTTGAGGTAGCATTATAACGGATAATTTATAATTGGCGAAAGATATGCGCTCAATATGGGAAAGTTCTCACTGAGTATATATGTATTCAAGTATTGCAGAAGTATCTTTATGGATTATTTTGGCGAGAAAAAGGGTAAGTCTGTAAAACTGTTATCATAAATATGTTGGATGCTATATAATTAAAATTTTGCCAAGACTATACGGATAAATTTACAAAGATTCAACAGTTTGGGCACATTTGTTGAATTTATTAAGCTTTCAAAACTGTTTTCGTTATCAACTAAGTGAAAGTTATTAAGATACATGCTGCGTTGATTGTTAAAATAGTTACAGTGAAAGATGTAATGTCTTTCTGTGCCTGGGGAGCCACTTGTACACAGAGGACAGGTTCTATCTAAGAAAGCGGTACCATCATAGCGCCCGGTCTCTGATGGGAGTCTTGTATTGCATGTTCTAAATTTGAAAAGGGTAATGTAGTCATTGCGCGGGATTAAATTTAGATACTTTTCATAAGTAAGCGACTTTTTAAAGCTATTGTATATACGGTCTTTATTTGATGATTGCATTTGATCGTGCCATATTTGTTTATATTGATCAATTAAGGTGAGTTTAATGCGATATGGAATACTTTTATTTACGGCTGTATTTTGATTAATCCATAAGTCAGTCCTACCAACAGAGTTTAAAATATCTTTAATTTTCTTTATCCACTTATAATTTTGGTCTGAATGATTTAACATAAATTGGTATAGGATATATGAAAGTTTACTTTGCTTTCCAAGTAAAAGTCTAACCCAGAAAGATATCATCCTAGTCTTGACTATGATTTCGACAGGGTATCTGCCTAATTCACCAAAAAGCATATATTTTGGAGTGCTTTTCCTGGCACAGGTTATTCTTCTAAGAAATGTGTTATGAATTTTTTCAAGAAGTTCTAAGTTCTCAAAGCCAAATATATCAGATCCGTAGGTTAAGATAGGCATTATAGTATGATCAAAAAGTTTAAGTGTAAGATCGATTGGTAAGTCTGCATTATTGCAGCGTGAATATAGCAGATTTAGGGCTTTATTTGCTTGTTAGGTCACATGTTTCCTTGCATTTAGAAAAGAGCCGTTACTGGTAAAGGTTACTCCAAGATAATGATAACAGTCTTCAATAGCTATGGCCTGGTTACCTAGAGTAAAGTTATATCTATTCTTTGCATTTCTACTTCCGAAAACAACTATTTTGGTTTTCTCAGCATTAACTTTTAGTTTCCATTCATTACAATATGAATTAAATGAGGATAAGCATTTTTGAAAGTCGTCAGCTGATTCTGACATTATAATTGTGTCGTCTGCGTATAATAAGAGTAATAGTTTAAGCCATGTTTCATTAGTTATAGTATCAGTTAGATTTACTCCCAAAGCTCCATTTGATATAAGATAAGATTCAAGGTCGTTTAGATAAATGGAAAAAAGTATCGGGCTCAAATTTTCCCCCTGGCGGACCCCTATTTCTGAAGTAAAAAATTGAGATGTTTCTCCTAAATGTACTACGCAGGACTTGATATTATTGTACATATTGAAAATAACTTGAAAAACTTTACCATTAATAAAATATTGAAGTAATTTATGCCATAGCCCAAAACGCCAGATAGTATCAAAACATTTAGAGAAATCAATAAATCCGCAGAATAGTTTTTGTTTACGCTTCTTTAAAATTTCAATTAATGTATGCAATGTAAATAAGTGGTCCGAGCAAGAGTAGCCATTTCTAAAACCTGCTTGTACTTCATTTAGGAGATTGAATTCTTCCATATAATTGTTAAGCCTAGAATTTAGGACAGCAGTGAATAATTTACCAAGACATGATAATATTGTTATTGGTCTGTAAGAATTAGTGCTTTTCGATTCACCTTTATTTTTATAAATTGGATATATCCAGCCTTCCAGCCAAACAGGCGGTAAATGTCCGTAATCAAGAATTATGTTAAAAAGACGTTCATAGATGGGTAAAAGCATAGATTTTGTACTCTTAATATATTCATTTGTTATACTGTCAGAAGGACTCGAGGCCTTGCCATTATTTAATTTGTTGATACAAATTAGAATTTCTTCTTGCGTTATGACTTTATTTAAATAGACATTTGAATTATCTATAAATGTTTGATCTAAATTAATATCTGTATCATTATGTGGATTACTATTTACATTTTTATAAAATAACGCTGGTCAGGGGAAGTAATTGTTTCGGTCTATGATTTTGTTTGTTGTGTCTATGATTATCGTTCGTGCAAATGGTGGCGCTGTTTGGAAAATTTGAAAACAACACGATTGGCAATTTATTTGGATTTCGAAGGTATTACCGTTATGTTATGTTTTACTTTAGTTTACTGATTATTTTCTAAAATATTATTATTTATTCTTTAAATTCTACTTTAATTTACTTTATGAAATAAATGAGAGATATAAACACATGATTGAGTTGATTTGACACGTTTTCGCGACCTAATTGAATTTGAATGATTTGGGTTCGGTAGGCCTTGTAAGCATGAAGTTATTGATGTCATTGGCAATTTATGATTTTACATATCTTGTCTTTCTTTAATTTATTTTTCATATTATTAAACATTTGTCTGTACTATATCCTATTTAAAATTTAATCAATTCTAAAATTGAAACCTATAAAGTAGTTCGGCCCACTTAATTTACGTCCCAAGACGATTCGTCAATATATATAACTATGTTTATATTTTATTGATAGTATAATGCAGTGTTTATTAGTTTGAAAAAAAATAAAAATACATTATAGTGATTATTATTAAGTTAAATAACAAATTTGAGTGTTAAAGTTTAATAGTCGTAAATTCAATAATAAATCTATTTCTATTTTATTATATATTATTTTATATTCTAGATCCTGGTCCTGGCTGAAATTTAGAGTATTGCAGCTGTAGCCTGTATACCATACATTCAACATGAAAGGGACTGTCAGGTTTGTTAAATTGAAATTTATTCTTATTAATTTATATATTTGAATTTCTTTACAATACAAAGTATAAATTTTTCAACTACTGGATATTTATCTTGTCTTAAAATATATTTCTATCGGAATATTCCTGTAACATTATTGATATAAAATTTACATGTTTGTTGGTTTCAGGATGCTGCATAAAATGGTCTTAGCTAGAGCCTAGAATGTTAATTTCTTGGGAATATGCTGCAAGGAACTGACGGGGAGCAGTTTTTCTTACACATCATAGGTGAGACTTTTAAATAGTTTCTTTTTAAAAAGATTTTTTTGTCTTATATACAGTTTTTGCTGTCAATATCAAACTTAGCTATGTTTCAATTTCTATACTGTTTTATGATGTAAATTTTTAGATAAAAGCATTTTAAGATAAAAACAAATCACTAAGTTGAGTAATTATATGTATAATTTGAGATTGACCAAGTCACTTTTAACAACAAACTTCTTATTTTTATTTGCAGAAGCAGTAAGAGACAGCCAAAGAAGTACTCGATCACCTGACATACCCAGAAAGATCTAGAAGAAAAGATTGGAACAGATTTTAGCTTAATTGTTAAAACTATTAAAGTGAATTTTAGCTGCACTTGAACTGTATTTTTGAAATAAAATATCTGAAATATTTAATATTGTCTTGATATTTTGTTAAACTTGGTTACTTTGCTTTATATCCAAAAATTAAAGTATGGTGGGTTTTCAAC